TTATTTTATTTTTTGGTACCAGGCATCGAACTCTGGTCCTTGCACTTGTGCAGCAGGCAGCGAAACCACTGAGCTAAATCCCCGGCCCCCAAATATTGTTTTGTTTTGTTTTTTGGTACCAGGGATCAAACTCAGGGCCTTGCACTTGGACAGCAGGAGCTGGAACCACTGAGCTAAATCCCCAGCCCTAAAAAATATATTTTAATATACTACAATGGAGAACAGTTTATAAAGTATACATATATAGCTTAATGATTATTATAAAACACACATACCATGTCAAGAAGGAGCATTCCTAGCACTTCAGAAGTGTTCATTGTACATTTATTTATTTAGTTAGTTAGTTACTTTTTATGGTACTGGGGATTGAACCTAGGGCCTCATGCATACTAGGTAAGCACTCTACCACTGTGCTACACCCCCAGATCCTTGTTGTATGTTTAAATGAGGAATTTTTCCGTTGGTTAAAAATAATATGCTTACTCAAGTGTACTTGCAAGTCTTCACTGGCAGTACTAAAAACCTCATATTAACTAGGCCTTGTACTAAGCCTGCCCTACAAAACAGCACACTGGGAATTAACCCATAACTCAAAAATTTATAAGGGTAGAAATGACTTTAAGTGGACATTCTTTTCTGTTAGTTTTTCAAGGACTGCCTTCAGTAATTCTTGGCAAAATATAATCTTTTTCTCTGCTAAATGATGCAAGTAGAATCCTTCATCTTTTCCTTAGGTCTCATTTTCTAACTGATTAGTCATTTTTCTGACTCTCCTAGAAACCTGTTTCTTATTTCCTTCCCTCTTGCTTTTAGGGGGTAAGATAAAACAAGTTCCCTAAAAGGTTCTGGTTTCATCCCATTGTGGATGTCATACCCCAGGACCCTGAGAGTTGTGTGTCACATTTTCAAGACATTGTTGGCCTGCTGCTGGCCTGGCTGTCATACGCTTCTGAGGTCTGTGTTGGGTTTCACACTGACTTTTCCAGCTGGTCCTCTTTTTGAATTGCCTCAGACATCTTAGTACTACACCGCTCCCCCCACCCGCTGCCGCCACCACCACTTCATGCTGCCTCCTTTCTTTGTCTTTCTTATTTTTCAACTGTTTGTGCAAATATTTGAATTTAAGTCTTCTCTTTACACTTTTCCCTCATCTGCCCATTTCCTTACCTCTCTATACAGGTAACTATTGGTGGTACTGTCTTCTGAAGTTTCTTTACATATGTGCAAGCCAAAGCAAATATATCTTTTCAGGAACTTGAACTCTCATAAACACCTTTGTTCATAGTTTTCTTCCTACTGTTTTGTTAAGCCTGTTGAAGTCTTAATTTTGTTATTTATTTTCCTTTCTTTTATGCTATAGAATCTTAAGTTTTATCATTGTCAATCCTCAACTTATTTCCCTTCTGGTCTACTCTTCATTGAATAAAATCAAGGAACTTTTCATTTACAGCACAGTGTTTTAGTTGTCACTTTAAAAAGTATCTTCTAATGCTTAATAGTAGCTTGTTGCGTTTTAAATGTATTCCTAATAACTATCTTAAGTAGGCAGCAAGAAAGTCCATGGATTAAGTTGAAAGACGGTCTTCCTAGTTGATACCTACCCCTTTTCCCATTTCTTAGACCTGATAATTGATATGTATCTTTTTTAATAGGTGTTATAATTTTAAGAAAATCCTATAAACAAAAATCCAAATTACAGGATGCATTGATGTGTCTTTAAATAGCACATATTTCTCTTGAATATGAAAATTATACGTAACTTCCCAAAGTCCAGTTTACCATCAGGTCTTCCTGAACAGTATTCCTTTTCCTGAAAAGTGATGTCCTCTTAGAATCATAGGGAATGAGTATTTTTTCAAAACCCAGCATCATCCTCAGTGGTAGAACCAGTACTAGAACTCATGCCTCCTAATTGTACATTCATTGCAAAATATTTCTAGTTTCTCACTTTTTTTTTTTTGGTACCGGGGATTGAAATCAGGACCTTGGGTTTGCAAGGCAGGTGCAGTGCCACTGAGCTAAATTCTTGGCCCTCATTTCCCACTTTTAAAATTTGTTATTATTTGATCTATAGCCCCAGTTGACTCAGTTCCTAAACTAGACAGGCAAATGTCAATAAAGAAAAATAAATTCCTTTTTCATTTACATCTGTGGTTTATTAACCCTTCTTGGGATGGGTCCTTAAAAGTGCAGTGCTAAGAGCCGTATTTCTGAGGAAAAGATAGTGTCCATATTCTCCCGGCCAGCTAGCAGCCCTAAACAAGCTGTCCCAGAGACCCAGGCTCATTATCAACACTGATGCAGTTGTTCAATTGCATGTGTTATCCTGAGATAATTTACTTAACCTGTCTACCTGTTATTTATTTATTTATTTATTTTGGTACCGGGGATCGAACTCAGGTCCTTGCACTTGGGCAGCAGGTGGCAGAACCACTGAGCTCAATCCCTGGCCCCCTGTTATTTTTTTTAAAAGGAAGATTGTCTTCCACCCACCACAGTCCATTCCTGGCCTATCAGAATAATATACTGGAAATAGCTCCTAACTGGGAATAGAAAACTTTGGCTGTAGTTCCAGCTTTGCCTCTTATTTGCCCTTGGCCAAATCACTTAAATTCTGTCCATATCTACACATGGCCAGTAGGGTTGGACTTGTGTCAGTCTTCCTAAATGTATTTCACACTTTTGCCTATCACAGACTGTGTTTTAGGTGTGGAATTCTACTTTCTGTTCCCATAGTGTTTCCCACCTTCTATTCTTCATCCCCTCCTCTTGGAATTTACTGTTCTTTTTACTTCACCTTTTGGTATTTTACGCATTTGTTCAGGCCTGGCCTATAGGTCTTTGCTTCTTTGTAGCCTAATTTGATTTTTCTACACCAGAACTGATTCTTCTTCATTCTGA